TGAAACGCCGCGGTCTTCCTGTTCACGTCCATTGCTTCCTGCTTCATTTCAATAGGTCATGGAGGTTATTGTATTTTAAGTTAAATATATAATAGATCTCATATTATTAAAAAAATAGTATATCAGTTTAAATTACTGGTACTCGTTTCGTTTCGTTTAAATTTATATATCAGAGCCCTTAGGCTAGGAACACACGCAGCGACATCGGTCGTATGACGTCCGTACGGTTCATGTCGCATTAAGTAGTAGAATGTAGTATAGTGTAGCTTTCATACGTGACGACATGCGACATCTACCGTACGACAGTCGGAGAGCAAAGAAATGTATTTGGTTGCTCTAGTGTGAAAAGGAGGTCGTACGGCAAAAAAATCGTACATTTCTCCGTATGACCGATGTCGCTGTGTGTGTTCCTAGCCTTCTAGCCTAACACTTTAAACCACTTACGTCCTTCTATTAGATTACATTTATATGTGTAGGGGTTGATGTTCTCACAGCGGTGGTTACGAAGGTAACTATCTTCACGATAATATCTTGCTCGGCTTATCCGACCCTGAGAATGGAAGCGATGCGTTCCTCCGAAACGTCGGTAGGCTTTCAACGGACTACGCGGCGTTATATCCCAGAAGACAGTACTCTACATTCGTATTTATATACATGTATATGTGTAGCTACAGAGTGCTGCATAATTAATAATGTGCTATTTCATCATGCGATGAACAGGAAATGTTTTTTGAATGCAGTATACAGAACGTTTCCATACAGACCATGCCTTTTATGACGTCAAAATACAACCGTACCAAAATAAATTCTCATCAACACATAATTCACCAGCTATAATTTAACTTAACTTCATATCTACATTTAGGGTGATAAATAGTATCTCACCTTCAGTTCCACAGCGATTGTATGTCTCTTTCTCTCCTCTTCCACCGTATGAATTCCTACTGTCGCCATTTTGGAGCTCCTTCTAAAATGCAACCCTGGTTTAAGCAACTTCCTAACATTTAGATATCATAACCTGTTTTGCAATCTTTTCATATTGTTTCCCCAGTCTAGCAGTAAATTTTCTGTAATAAACGATCAGACGAAAAACTACGCAAATAAGTAAGCACTAACAGAATTCCACTAAGTAGAGTACTTCAGAAACTAACAATCGCTTATATTATCACGAAATTACCGATCTTTCATGCAACAGCAAGATTCATTGCCACAATGCACAAGAATTGGACCCTATCCTGACTAAGCTGAAACCAGTCTACACCCTCTCACCCTATTTTTAAGATGTATTTTAATATTATTCTTCAATATGTAGGCCTATCTATGTCTCTCAAGTGTTCCCTTTGGGCTTTTAAGAAAAATGTATATAACAAAAAGCATCAATAACTCAGTTTAAGGTCCAGTTCAATATTATCCTCACATCTATGCCTACGCATGTAATTCAATAAATAGCCCCACAAAGAAAAATTCTTGGACATCTGCCAGTCACTCAGCTGACCAAGGAATATCCAGCATATGGAACTTGAAAATTCAATATTGTTCATGACAGCTCACCACTGGCTCCTATTCCATTGAATATACTCCACCCTGACATACTACTGTATTTCTTAAAACCAATTTCAATATTATTCTCCAATGTACGTCTAGGATCCAAAGTGATCTCTTCCCATCAAGTTTTCCAAGCACACTATTCTGTATACATTTGGTCATCGACTTACGACCGGGTGCACTTACGACCACAAAAAATGAAAAATAAAAGATGATTAAAATGTAAAAGTTTTTAAAAATAAATTATAAATATAATAAAAAGACTTGAAAGGTTAAAAAATACTGTTAATAAATATATGGCCGACATATGACCAGATAGACTTATGACCTGTCGGTCAGAAGGGAAGACAGTCGATGATCAAGTGTAGATATATTTTTCATTTGGTGTTATATATCCCTCTTATCTTATCGTCTCTGATTAGATAATTCTAATACTACATATCTGGTGATGAGTACTTCCAGTTTCTTTACACCCCAGTAACAATTGCAAGGGTGCGTGAGGCCCTGCGCCTTAAAGATAAGACATGGAATATGCTTGTCTAGAATTTTATGTAGCAAAGAAGTCATAAATTGTTCTAGTACTATAGTTTGCTTGCTTATAGTGTAACACTTGTTGGAAATAAAGTTAAACAATAGCGAGGGTAGGCAAGCAATCACACATTTGGATACGAGGGCTGTGACCAAGCTCCATCAAAAATGGTAAAGCCTGCTGATTGGTACTTAATGATAACTGACTTTTTTTGGGTGCGTTTGAAGCGAAAAGCTGTAAAAATGCGCCCATTAGCTCCACCACGTCTATCTGCCAGCAAGTAACAGCTCGAAAACCGCAGAATGGACACTCTTTCTTCATTCCAATTTTGGTTAAACAGAACAACAAGAACAGACATTTTCATCAAGACCTACGTGCATTTCTACATGTATCTCGAACAAAACTTTTTAAATGTTTGTCGGAGAAAACAACATTTCAATCGAAAGCCTAGAAAAAACAATGAAACACAAATTTTATTTTATGTCCCATACACTTTTCTTGATAGTCATAAGGTTTTTGAGAAAATTAAAAACTGGGTTTTATGCTGTGCCATCTCACAACTCAAGACCTGTTGGTCTGATTTGCTGGCACTTATCTAACCCGCCTCTTATATGCTAATTGTAGGGAAGCATCAAAATTTATACCTTCAAGGTCTGCAAATCTCGTGGTACTATCACATCGAATACGCCTGCATTGTTACGCTATCATTACACTTCATATGAAGGTCGTGGGTTCAAGTCCTGATGAGATCATTGGATTTTTTCAGTTGACCTAATCCTTCCAGCCGCACTAGGCCCTGGGGTTTACTCAGCCTCTAACAGGTATGAGTACCAAGAATTAATTAATTTTCCTGAGTAAAGCACAGCTGGCGCGTAAGGCTGACAACCTTGCCGCCATCTATGAGCTGATTGTCTAGACAATGTGGGATCCTCAACGTCTCACAACTCTATGGGCCTTCACAGCCTGGTACAGGGATAGCTTTACTTTACTTTACATTACTGAAAAATGTTGAACTACTCCATCATAAAATGCCCATAAATCATTTTTGGCATATGGTGAAAACACAAATGATAGTCCATGATTTATTTAAACCATCTTGCAGTGCATACACTCATCTATCTCCTTCTCTCACTCGCATTACATGTTTCGGCATAAAAATGCCACCTTCTGGTGCTTACTCAATCCACGCCAAACTAGTTCATTGCATGCCTTGTCCTCACATTACAATAACTAAAATATATATCTGTCATATATAGTGACAAATGTCAAGCGTTAAAAATATTAAAATTGTTTAGGATTCCTCATCGCTACGTCGCATCTCACTACGCCAGTCTTGCTCCTGTGACTGCGTGAGACACAACAAAAGCACAACACACACACACGATAGTGAAGGAGTGCTCCAACAGAGGAGGATGGGTGCGACTGGCGTAGTGAGATGCGATGTAGCGATGAGGAATCCTAAACAATTTTAATATTTTTAACGCTTGACATTTGTCAATATATATGATAGATATATATTTTAGTTATTGTAATGTGAGGACAAGGCATGCAATGAACTAGTTTGGCGTGGATTGAGTAAGCACCAGAAGGTGGCATTTTTATGCCGAAACATGTAATGCGAGTGAGAGAAGGAGATAGATGAGTGTATGCACTGCAAGATGGTTTAAATAAATCATGGACTATCATTTGTGTTTTCACCATATGCCAAAAATGATTTATGGGCATTTNATGACAGTGTCAAAGGATCACATTAAAATCTTTATTACATAACTTCTTTTGTACAATATCATAACTTTAAAATACAAAACAATGCATCATAAAAATAATCAAAATAAACGTTTTCTGAAGTACTCTATAAAGAGTACAACAGACAATACCCACACCTTACCACCTCACAGATGCATACTGAACTACTTCTCATTACTCTCTACAAGCTTCAACAGGACCACTTAAGTGCTCTCTGCCCAGCAAGAAGGGAAAGCCATTATTTCTTGATACCTGCTACTTTGGGTTGCCACTAGTCTAAATGCTGCCCAAGGTGACAAGAAATTCCATCCCCTCATCAAAACAAGACAAAATTTCCAGACACAGTGATGAAAACTGCTGTTGGTGTCATGATTCTTAAAACGGGTTTAATTACATTTTTTGCATAAAATGTCTATATTAGTACCTACTGATGGTCATGACTTGATAAAAGAGAAGCAGAAAGTAATTTCTATTAAAGAAGACAACATGATAACATTTCTCTTTAAGACTATACACTATGATTTTTGTCCTATAATGTTTTTGGTAGCATAGTTGGTTGAGGCACTATGCTACAAGCCGGAAGGTTGCGGAATCAAGTCCCAATGAGGTCAATGGATTTTTTTCAATTGACCTAATCCTTCCAGCCTCACTATGGCCCTGGGGTCGACTCAGCCTCTAACAGAAATGAGTACCAGGAATTAATTAAATAATTTTCCTGGGGAGCAAAGCGCGGCTGTTGCGAAAGTCTGACAACCTTGCCGCCATCTATGAGCCGATTGTCTAGATAATGTGGGGCCCTCAACGTCTCGCAACCCTACGGGCCTCACGGCCTGTTACAGGTATAGCTTTACTTTTTTTATGTTTTGATTTATGGTTGATATTTTCTTGGGTCTAATAATAGTTAACTGTGTATGTTTGGTCAGTAATACACTGAAAATATCCTCCAACCTGCTCAGGGAGAATGGATTCTCCCTGAGCAAATCATGGAAGACTCTTACCCATCTTCTGAAATGGAAAGAAGGAAGAATTTTCTCTCCAAAGACAAGCAATTTATATCCTCCCATGTTGGCAATGCACTACCTGGGCCCTTGGAAGGGCTGATTTCTCACTTCCCAATGCCTGTGCACAGGGGCCCTGAAAAGTGCTGCCATTTCCTAATTCTGAGCATTTCATTTTCTCTTCAGTAACAAAAAACTATGGGAACCCTGCCAACCATTCCCAGTGGCCTGAGTTGGGCTCCAAATCATTATCCCCTCTGATGAATCAGAGTAATCATTTAACCTTTCTTGCAACCTCCCTAGACATAACCTAACTGATTCCTCACCCTATATATACATTGCAACCATTAGGATGGAGGGAGCACATTTCTCAGAAATGTCAGCACCTTCCTATAAGTATTACAAGAAGTCACAACCCTAAAGTCCAATTCTAAATTTACAAATCAGTACAATTAATTGCAACAATCATAATATATAAATTAAGGCATTATCAATATGTGACAAAAGTTGTTATTATGCCAGATCATGAATTTAACAGAAAGATGCCCAAGGAAAGTGAATCAAATCTGTGTAGATTCAGACAGTAGAATCATCATATATGAATGCAAAAATTTAATATAGTATATACATTCATTAATTCTGATTGCCATTTGAATTATTCAGTTGAGGAATGTTTCTTAAATGATGTCGCAATTTCTTTAATGGCTGGCATACCTTCTTTTAGTGCGTTCACAATCTGTGAACGACTATCATCATCTGAACCAGTTGTCAGCAGTTTCAACACCAAGTCTGAAAAAAAATAAATTATGTAGACTGAAATAAATATTAAAAAAAAAATCCAAGTCACACATTTCACACAAATAAGAAAAATAACTTTCTTCTTTCTTCCATTTCCAACTTGCTATCAAGGACCTAGCACAAAGACACAAAGATACTGTGAAATTTACTTCATACTTACATCAGTATGCACAGCAGTCGCAGCTATTAAGCAATGTGCAAGTATTATGGAAAAGTTTTTGGAGAGGATTTCAAACTACATTCCCAGATCTTTTAACTTCATGAGAAAATTTTAATTTTTACTTTGAGTGCTTAATGCTTCAGCTGCTATATGTAGTGATGTTAAGGAAAATAAACATATCTCAGGGGAAGTACAGGCATTTCTGTTCATACAACATATAGTAAGGTTCTCCTATACTGGAGAACATCACATAATGAGGAGCATTACATTTTATTCTTATAATTATCGCCATCATTGCTTATAAAAGATTAAGTTTTACGTGTCCATTCCTGCATTTCTGTCAACTTTCACCAGTTGCGTGTGTGGGCAGCCAAGGTGTAAGTGTGTCTTATCTCAATTGCAAAGTTTCTTTACTGCTGCATATTATGTGATATGAAGTTTTATGACTATTTAGCATTAATCACACTTGCATGTAATCCATTCCCTTTTTTTTTCAGTGAAACTGTGAATGTTAAATGTTTTCAATAACTGACCAGGTAATTAGCTTTTCTTCTTGAAACTGAGGAACAAGACTGCTGGTTCCACCATAATGTAACAACTCACATTGAAAAATTAACAATAGTAACATTGTGAGAATTCTTTGCTATCCATATTATTTCTCAAAATGTGTGCCCTGTCACATCTCAGGATCTGTGAACACTCAGATTATATCTCTGGGAATTTTTAAAGGATAACTGTAGGAAAATTACCCTCAGATGTTAGATAAACTGAAATTAAATACTGAGACACACATTTAAAAATGTACTCAAGCAACTCTTCTCCATTTTGCATCAAAACATGCAGAAAACAGTAAATGCATATACCACAAAAGGCAGTAGTCATGCTTAATATAACTGTAATTGTAATTTGTCTACATAAATGAAACTACATCAAGATTGGATTGTGACTTTTGATCAACCTGAACATACTGTGATGTAACACCTGAGAGCCAGAATAGTGGAGTGAGAACAGATGGCCACTGCTAGGCAACAGTTTGGCAAAAACACTCCCATGACAATGGATATGCATGCGATAATAGAAGAACTGTTGGAAGCAATGTTTTCTGTGCAGTCTGTGACGAGAATATATAACAAGGACCAAACTGGAGTCAGTGGTCAGCAGTAAGCAGCCAATTGCAAGTCATGAGTCAGCAGTCACAGCTGGTGGCTAGCTGTAAGCATGGAACCAGAGGAATCTCCATTGCTGGAAGCCGCTACCAAGCAAGGACCGGTGAAGACAAAACAAATTGAGAAGAATCGGTGTGTACTGTAGTGATTTGTTAAGTATGTATATCAGTGAGAGTGTTATAGTTGATTGTTATTGCTTTAATAAATTCAATAATTAATCCAAACCCTGTGTTTAGTCACTGCCATATACAATATTAAAAATGTGAGAAAAACAGGAGGCACTAAGAGGCAAGGTTCAGAAAAAAAATAATATCAGAAGTCTATCATAAGATTCTCATTCAGACTATTCTGAATATATATAAAATATCTATTTTCTGTGCTTAACAGCAATAATGGGAGTTCAAAAAATACTTTAAAAATATCAGCCACAGGGAGAAAGAAGCTTGGGAAGACCCTGAAATGGTGGAAGGATCCTCTTAAGTAATACCTGCAACAGGCCTCAACAGACCTAATACTGGAAAGGATGATGATATAGAACAGCACAAAGAACTCACCATGATACCGCTGCAAGGTGTTAAAAACTTCAGCAGTAAGGTGTGGCTGCAAGTATGTTAAGATATTAGATACGAATCGTCCAGATGCATGCAGCATTGTTTGTGTCATTGCTTGAAACAATATTAATGCTGTCAGGTGCAAAACTAGAGCTGGATCCTCTGAAGAAGTGAGCTGTTCCAGTAGAGCCTGGCGATGTCCTAGCAGCTGTGGTCTGCAGCAAAAGAAAATCACAACTTTAGATTGCAGTCTTCTGGGTTGTGACACCATGTAGATATATAGACATGCTGCCCACATCTTCTGGGGTAAAATGTGTAGGGTGAGGAAATGGTATGTTCCATGGGAAGTGGTGAGGAAATGGAGCCCAGAAGAAGAGTAACAGTGAGCAGGAAAACAACCTTTCCTAGGGCTACAATACTGTTTCTCATTGCAGAAGGGAAGAAGGAAAATGGCCCTGCTCACCATTTCTGCTGCTCCAAATCAGGCTCTCCTTCCTCACCTAATCCTGCAGGCCTAAATTTTGCAATCTGTCAATATGACCCAACTGATTCCTCACGACACACACGCTCAACCCTGATGATGGAGACAGCATATTCCTCCTAAACAACTGTATCTGCCTACAAAAGCATGGTGTCACAGCCCAGATCACAATGTGAATAATCACTGCTATAAACAACCTATAACAAAAGTCTTGTAAAAATTGTAAAAGTGTGTTTAGGTCGTTCAAAAATGATTGACACTCCCTCCATAACTCCGGAAAAGTATCAGTGTCAAATGCTAGCCAGTGTATGTGGGAAGACATACTACAGTGCCGCCTGTGGTCACGAGATGACATTGCTACTGCGCATAGGTCGAACAGTGCTGCATCATTCATGGCGGTGTGCAGGTGCAGTCGTGGACAACACTCAGACAACATGGAAGCAGACAATCATGAGCAATGGTGGACCGTGTGGTTTTTCTGGAGGGCAGACCATTGCCACCCTGGGTGCTCTAGGGTACATCGTGCTGCCTCATCTGACATACTTGCCCGAACTTGCCCCTAGCGACTATGCTCTATTCAATGCAATGAAAAACATCATGCGGGGTAACATGTTCACCTCCAACAACGAGCTTCAGGCAGTTGTCCAGCAGTGGCACCGGGATAACCACAAATATAGGTTTGCTGTGCAAATACGGAAACTGCTGGAACGATGGCAAAGGTGCACAGACATTGGCTGGGATTACCTCTAATATAATCTGTATATATTTTGTTCCAGTAAATGGTTACTGTGAAGAAACATCTAGTGTCAATCATTTTTGAATGCCCCTAGTAATAGCATACTCAGATAAAGTACATATAATTTTCTAAATATATTCTTTGAAAATTTTAATATTGCACTGGTTTGAACGTCACTACTGCATATACTTGTCTGTAACAAAGCTGATCACATTACATACCAGTTAATTATTTTCTTGTATTATATTATATACATATAGCATTAAAATAACTGTTCCAAATAAAGCTGTATGTCTTAAGAATATGTCTTTTACAGCATGTACCATTTATTTGCTAAATGAGTCACTCTCAAGAGAACTGATAAATTTTGATCTGAGCTTCTGGTACAGAGCCAAATTAAATTCCCCTAGAGCAGACTCCAATATCAAATTCCATAAATATCTGTTTAGCAGTTTCAGAAATGAAACATATGGACACAACATCCACATCATTCATTCATTTTCTGCACTTCAAACACAGAACAGATAAAAGCAGTGGGCTAATGCAACTAGCAGTAACAATGCTCGTTGCACTACTGATTTTAACTTCGTTACAAAAGGACAACCACCATAACATGAATGAACAAAATCTTTTAAGCCCCTGGAAAACTATAGCTTCAGTGCTACACTCTGTAAGTCCCCATTTACACGAGAACTATCTACATGGCTTAAAGCGTGAGCTGTCATATAAAAAGTATCAATTTAATTGGAAGAGTTGATGATTGGGGCATTCCTTTTAGCTGAGCTACTGAGCATCTTCAACTAAGATTTTCTTCACACTAAATTATTCAGCTACTTCTGGCTTCAGTCATGTTTGTTAGCATGTCTCACCACGAACACAGTAATACAGCCCACAACTCTGATGGATGTTCACTGAATCTTGTTCCTTGCAAATGAAAAGGCTCATCTAAATAAGGATTAATGTTTCCAAGATTTCCCACATCAACATTCTCATAGTTAAATATCTTTATTTACCTTTCCTTCTTTTTGTCAGGCTTACGGAGAATCATGTCACAGACACCTGGTCCCAGTGCTGCTTCAACACAATTCAGGAATTCTTCTATGGAACTCGTGTTCAAAGACTTATGTAATTTCAGTAGAGGTTCCTTGCATTCATTTGGAGAATCATTCAGAATTTTCAGTCTAATCTAATAAGGAAAAGGAATATGTGTATTTAAGTAAGAGAACAGAAATTAGGAATGAACTTAACACAACATTATAAATATATACATATCAGCTAAATACATATATACAATTACAATATAAACTCTTATTTGCCATATGGTTTCTCTGTAACTGTAATGAAATAATTAGGGCCCATGGGCTTCGGAGAATCTGAGAGTAACAACTGCAGTAAAAAGTTAGTTTTAAAGTTATATAAAATGTCAATATCATTGCTTCTATTTTATTCCCTAGACTTCATAAAAACATGATATTTTTATATAAATACATTGTATGGGATTCCAAACAGCCTTTGTCATATACAGAACACTGTAAAGAGAAATAACTGAGATGAATTCCCAAACTACAATTTGTAACAAATTGTTATAGCACACAATCCTGAGGTTATGGTACTACATTCAGCTTTAAAAATATATTAAAGCAACTGATGAACACGCTTATTATAATTATTATAATTTGGGACAAGAAGTAATAGCAATAACTAATACAATCTTAATTATGGGAACAATTGTGAGTACACTTATAAAATAATGACAAAAATTTTACACAACTTACAGTCATAAAAACATAGGCAACTAATTCTAAACGAATTCCTGAACTGAATATCAGGCAAATGAAAACTGAAGGAAAAAGATAATTCATTGTAATATATAATTTTCCTTCCATGTTTTACATATGTAGGGGAGCATTATTCTTAGATACATAACATCTGATCCTCAGATAATTTATATGCATATCTGAAAATAAATAACATTCTCACCTCAGGTGACAATTCCTTTGTCTGATCATACTGGAACATGTTTTCTTGTGCAATGTATGAGAAGACATCATTGGTAATTTCTGTGCACAAAGTCTTGAGGAGATACTTGACTAACTGTTGTTGAATATCCTTGTCAGCAAACTGTTTAATTCCTTTCTCAAAAAGTCTGACATTCACAAACATCGCATTTAACTTGTCCTGAAGATCACTGTGAGTTTTGCGTCTGCTCTGAGCTGATGAGGCCATTGTGCTCTCAAACACAGTCTCAGCTGCAGCAAGACCAGATTTATTCAATGAACTAGAAACAAAATGTAAGATTTGAGATTTTCACAGCGGTGACTCATCTTTTGGGATGTGGCGCCGTGTAGAAATTGTGTTAACCGATGTTTCAGAAGAACGTATCACCTCCATCTTCAGGGTAGAAGACAAGAAGAAATCCGCAAGTGAACCAGGCATAACCCTGTAGCTCGGGGGGGGGGGCACTCAGGTACAATGCAGCCCCCGAGCCATAGGGTTAATCCCTTCCATTTAACCTTCCCTTCTCTCCCCTTAACACATATTCTATACCAGCTCTGGCCCACTACCTGCTGGCTATTCCACCAGATCCTTCCCCTTCCCCTCCCCCATCTACTATCTCCCTATGTAGCCACACTCCTTCTCTCCTTCTCTTATACAGCTGTGTTTACTCGACTGGATTCAGTCTGTTGCACCTGCTCTGCTGGTTCGCTCACAGATTTCTTCTTGTCTTCTACCCTGAAGATGGAGGTGACACGTTCCTCTGAAATGTCGGTTAACACAATTTCTAAACGGCGCCACATCCCAGAAGACAGCTTTCTCCATAGAAACAAAATATTCGAAGAATTACATGCTGTAGACGCACAGCTCATTTGACTTATAATTTATATAGCCTTTGAAAATTTAAGTACAAATTAAGATTTCAGGTTCTTACAGCAGTGAATATTAAGGGTGTCTTGTGGGATACGATGCTGTGTAGTCTGGTAAATAGGTTGGTACCTGTCTAACAAATTACATGGCGTAACATCCCAGAAGGCAATAATCACAGTTACAAAATACTTGGCATATATAAAAACATTATACTAAAATATTATATTGAAGGTCATTGTAAGAGTTGGCTATAGCACATATGAAAAGCAGAATACAAAATTAAGGCACTGAAATATGGACCTATGGGAGAAATGTGCCTGAAGAAAACATGGTGAGAATAACAACATCTAGAGGTAGATTCTAAACGGTTCTGACGATGGTGGATGACACACAGAAATACTGGGGGTTTGGACTTTTTCCATCGTACAGAATTTTAGGTAACAGAGGACATGGTGTTTTGGAAACTGGATCTGTTTCCGTCTTCAGGTGAGAGAGAAGACACCTATTCAGTTGGGCCCCTTAGAAAGAGCTAATCTCAATCACTGGAAATCTAGAGGGTTTAGAACAGGTAAGTAATCGTAACCCCACGCCCCTCGTTATGAAGATATGTTGACAGACTTCAATCTGTAAACACTTACGGATAGAGATGGTTTGCAATTTCTGCTATCAGTTCTCCAAGGTCTTCTTCTTGCAATGTTTCATCTTCAGCCAGCACTTCTTTGATCTCTGCAATGCTCAACATTTCCAGCTTATGAGAACTCCCTGAAGTCTTCCCAGTTGCAGAAGTTGTCTCCTCATCAGAATCATCTCCAGCTGTTGCTTTGCCTCGCAAATATTTCTTCTTCGTAGATTTTGTCCTAGTTTCCCGGCCCTGTTCACATTAGCAACATTGATATTTTCAAGCAAAAAGCAATTCAGTACTTGAATATTAACATTAACGTCATATTACACATACATACATCTTATAAAGCATTTATCTCACAATGATTTTATTTTTGTATTAACTAATTCAGGCATTCTCACTTCATTGTCACTGTGCAACTTCACATATATAAAAAATTACACTTTGATGGCTCTTCATCTCTTCTTATTATTTATTTAATATTATACATTTTAGCCTAAGAAGCCATCATCAGGTGTATAAAATTATAGATGAAAAATGCTGCTCTGTTGTTACAGTGTTGTATTTTGAAATTTATAAGTAATGTAAAATACTTATAACATATTTTAAGCTATTTTTTAGATTCTCATGCCATGGTTCCTTTTTGTCCCTGTGCAGTGTAGCCGTCCTCTTTGTGTTGCTCCGCGACCGGTTGCTGTGGGCTGGGTAGACCTGCTTGCCCCTGGCGGCTATACTCGTCGCACGCCCCCGCTGCCTATCAGGTCGCCTTCCGCTGTACACACTCGTTACCTGGGCACACTCAGCTACTAGGTGTGCTATCAACCTTCGAACTTTATTTATTGTGGTGGCATGAGAAACCTTCTCAGGGTCTTTACAGGCCTCGCTCAAACAGGAGCACAACACTTAATACACACAACACCCTTGTAGTTCTCAGCACCAAGTTATTTATTTATTTGGTTATTACAAAATTTGTATTTAATACACTCTCTCACTCTCTCTGAGCTCGGAGGACTTAACTAAGTCTCCTTTGGATTCGATGCGTAAATACAACTACATTCCTCTAATGGGTTAAACACACGAGGACGGAACCGGGCGTGGCCTTATCACTCAGAATATATTACTCTTCTGAGATGTCCATAGTGTCCACACAAGCCTGACCGCGTCATCCACCAGAAGGCCTCAGGCGCTAACGCCACCATCGGCTTAATTTCTCAACACTCATAATCACAAGACATCTTCTGTCTCTGTCAATCCTGGAATTTGCAAACATCCCAAATCGCGCAGTCAAAGACAGCCTTCTGAGTGCAATTCTGGCTTATGTACCACGCTTTACAATTCCAATATAATTAATATCTTAAAGCAATAAACGGAACGGCCACAGCAGCCATGACCCTGAATGACAGTGCTGACTGTGATATGCATTACATACTGTCATTAGCACAAAGAGAACCTGATGATGCCACATTCTGTGGTCCCTGGCATGGCCAACATGTGCACATTATAACCAAATTATGCATGGGCATAGGTAAACAATTATGTGAAATTCTGAGGGTATTGTTTCTGTTGTGCGGTGCCTGTATGAATATATTATATTTCATTATACAATAAATTGTTCCAGATACCTGTGTTCCTCCACCACCTTTCCCTCCAGTAGCCTTTTTACGTCTTTCTTCCCTGCGATCACCCTTGGTATTCGGTTCATATTGTTCTATCAGATTTCTGTTGTTTTGCAACTTACTCTCAGCCTGAGCCAAAAGATATGCTCCAGAAGAGACTACCTGAAATATATGCCTTTAAATTAAATGATACCAAATTAGATGCTAACTAAATATGCCTGCATAGTCCACTGATCTTGACATTCATTTATTGCGAAAAATATTCTATTATTGTAGACACAAATCTACCATTCCAAAGCTGATCACCCTGTAGAAATTACACTGCAGAGCCAAAAGTTATTTTTCCCTTTATCTCAATAGAATTCCTTGGACAGCACAATAGGTATAGTGACTGGTTATGGGCTGGACAAGTGGGGGGTCAGAGTTTCAGCCCCTGCAGGTGCAATATTTTTTTCTTCCATGTCATCCAGACTGGTTCTGGGGCCCACTGAGCCTCCTATCCAGTGGGTACTGGTGCTATTTCCCTGGGGGTAAAGTGGTCAGGGCATGAAGCTGGCCACTTACCTCCAACTAGTGCCAAAGTCAAGAATATGTGGATCTCTACATCTGCTGCAACTAAGTGTACTTCATTTCAGTCTACTGTTTCTCCCTTTTTGTGGTCAAACAGACCGACTTCAATTCACTGTGGTCTTCTTATGTGCACTGCATTTATCTGATAATTTTTTAGCTAATAAATGAACAGTCCTCCTTAGGGAGCTGAAAGCCATTCATCTAGCCAAGAACTACCATACCATTTACAATTTTGAATGTTCAGTATCCTCTTCACAAGATTCAGTCCCTGCACTATATCCTGAGCGAGATGAAACCAGTTCAGGCCCTCATATCATATTTCTTAATATTATCCTCCTAACCATCCTTGCATCTCCTGAATGGCCGGTCTTGTTCCATTAGATTTGCTGGCTAAAATGTTACACATATGTATTTCTCGTATTTCTCCTGCATGCTTCACTCCCTGACCATTTTGTCCTCAGTGAGGATTCTCAACACGCAGTTACCTCTATTCTCCTGTTAGTTCCTCTCTGTCAGGTACAGACATTCCACTAATTATTTTGCAATGCTATAAGGTAAAGGTAAAACGTAAAGCTGCACCTGTGCGTAACTAATTATGCACTATGCCTTGAAGGCATTTGGGGGAATGGGTGTATAGGTCCACATTTTCTTGACCTTGGCATTAGCTGGAGGTGAGTGGTCATCTTCATGCCCCGGCCGCTTTACCCCTGGGGAAAGAGGCCCCGTTACTCACTGGATAGGAGGTTGAGAGATCCCAGAGCCAGTCTGGACAACATGGAGATGAGAAAATTCTCGACTCTACTGGAACTTGAACTCCAATCTCTGTCGTCCAACCTGCAGCAAGACCCTATTTCGTGATGCTATTCTGCACTTATCTGTAAATCTGTCGCATCTTCTGGGGAGAGTTTGAATTATGTTAATTCTTATTTTGGCCAGAACATACTGTAGAAAACAGGAATCTACTTACTCCCACATCTGGTTTAATGAACCTTATGCTTGCATCATGGCATACATAAAACATGCAATTTATTTAATGTGAAAATCAATCACCAACCTTGGGGCTTACAAACACTGCAGTTAGCAAGAACTGGATCTTAAAGGAAACTAAGGGAACTAAGGCCATGTTAATACTACTTATAAACGCCTTAAGTTACCTATTCCAATACTGAAAACATATATAATAAAATTAGACATACATTATAGAAAAGGGTCATAAGAGAACACATTGCCATAGTAATTTATATACTAGAAAACAGGTTTTAGATGCCATTACAGCCTTCTGCTAGCAAATACGGATTGCTTGGTGTAGAAGCCATTGTCATCTTCTGTGTATACACAAATTAAAAAAACATGGATGCATAAACCTGCTCTTGGCACAGGATTGTCATATTTTGGTGAATTCCTTGATGAAATATTTAGCTGTCCGTTTTATCAGGACAATAATAATGAGTCTAAATATGTTATTCCTCAGATAGCAAATCTGAAACACTCACTAAAAATAACACATCACTAATGGAAGCATTACAGTACTTAATAACACAGTACTGTAAGGGTTAAATTTAGATATTATAATGTGAAACATTAATATAAATGCTTGGAAGACATTTTACAAACATACCTCTTCAGCTTTTTTCTGAATTATGGCATCAAATGGCTTGGTAAGTTTCTGGATAAACTGCTCTGTGAGTACCATGGTGCTACAAAATATGTGCATATTCTGACTGGGGGATTTTATTTTGGTGTTCTTCAAGACTTCTGTTAGTATTTCACCAGCATCTTGCGGCTCAAACAATGAAGGCAACAATGGCTGCAACAAAGCAAAAAGGATTTAAACATTTACAAACAATGATAACAATCAATAAATAAGTATGAAGAAAGCAGTATTTTGGGATGTGGCGCCGTGTAGATATTGTGTTAACTGACATTTTGGAGGAATGTATCGCCTCCATCTTCAGGGTAGAAGAAAAAGGAAGAAAATTCGCAAGCGGAGAACCAGCATGAGCAGATGCTAATAGACTAATGTCGAGAATAAACCCAGCTGTATAAGAGCAGGAAGAGAAGGGAGAGGGGCTACATGGGAAATCAGTAGAGAGGACAGGGGAAGGGTGGTTCCATTCCTGGCAGAAGCAGGTAATTTTTCTCTTTTCCACAGCTCTGGGACCCACCCAGTCTCCTACAAAATGGGGACCAGGGGATTCTTCCCTGAGAGTAAAGCAACCAGGGCGTGAAACTGACCATTCACCCTCCCCTGGTGTTGATGTCAAGAATGGCAGACATACCTCTGACCTGCCACAGACCTTCATAGCATAGTGCTTAATTAATTAAGCAGAAGGACTTCACTTTTTCTTTACATTACAGAATTATGGAAATGTCATATGTCTGACACAAAACATAAAATAAATATTCTACTATGACACTAACCATGATATCCACCATGGATCCAGTGGCAATAGCTTCTTCCACAGCTGCTTCTACTTGATCAATTATCTGTGGGCCTACAGCGAATGACGGCAACAGCAAAAGCTTCTCATTTGGGAAATGTTTATGGACAAAGAGTTGATGGTCCACGATGCCCAGTCGCATTAATGCATCATATTCTGTAAACAATTTTTACATATATAAAGTAGTTAGTTAGTTATTGGAGAGGGTGGGTTTCCCCATGCACTTAGACCAGTATTGGTCCATTGTGCTTCCCTCTATGATATTCTACCAGTCTCTATATCCTACCGATATTGGTGCGTACCATCAGTCCCGACCGAGCCAGCGAGTTCGGCCTCCACTAGCTTGGCGGTATCTATAATGCTTCCCCCATCTATCAGAGGTGTTAGAGACTACTTGTTGGGCGGGAAATGTCCTTGAATTTTGCTCAGTGACCTCCTTTGGAGATATGAGGTTCCTTTACGTGCCGTAAAGCTACGACATGGGACACACAGCTTAAAGTCCCTCCCGGACGACTTGTTCCCTGAATTTTTCTGCCCTTAAAAATTCGACGACCTCTGCCGGGTCTGAACCCACGTACCACAAGTCATGAGGTGGGAACGTTACCTATAAACTATGAAGCCCACTCATATATAAAGTAACTACCATACTACTATTAACCTAGGAAAAAATGCATGTCTAGACTCTTCAGGAAGACTGGCAAAAGATTATCTAGTATTTCCTTAACACCGTGAACTTCTCGAAAGGACACTTGCAAGAATATTAATTTATGTACAAAAGTTCACTTTTATGTGGGTTGCCTGACAACCAAGCCCAAAACTTCCTCTGTGATTCTTTCATTCATTCATTCTTAAAAGTGCCCACACAATCTTATTCTGTTATCTATCTGTTAATTTATCTGCCAAAGCAACTTATCTTTAAATTCTCATTTTTTTTGGCTTCACCCTGTAGTCATGCATTTAACTTATTTCAATGTTTTTATTGTAGCATACTACTTGTGTACAATGTAGACAGCTTATTTTATAAAGCAGGCTCTCAATTATTCACACGCAGATTAGCAACATCGTTTATAGAATCCCTTACATACTGATGATGATAACCGCAGCCAAGGAGAACCACAGAGAAACTGGAATATAAGCTTAACCTTTAATGTTCAAAGTGCCCTGAGCGGGCCAAAGTACCCCGTTTTTGCCAGTCAAGCATTTAAACTCTGCTAGTGGAAGTGCGCGCATATGTCGCTAGTAGAAGCGCATGCAGAGTCCTAAATATTTATTTTTAAATGTAGTAATTACCAGACAGACTTGACTAAAACCCTAATAGAGGAATTAAAATGATACCTATGTGAACAACAACAAAACGAGTATACGTATGAGTTATGCCCAAACTCATCAATGAGCCAGTACTTTTATTGCAGATTCTGCATTTAATGTGTTAAAATATATATAGTAAAATTCGATGTACATACCTTTTTTGTTGTTATCTGCTTGATGTATATATAGGCTGAAATGAAGCTACAGTATTCGATTTCACTACGAACGCACAGAACACAGATCGTAATCCGTATCTCAGCCACGATGCAGCTGTTTGTTCATGCCCATAAAAAGGGCAATAATCCTTTGCAGCTATAACGGATGGTCTTAGCACTGAAGAAGGGACCCCTCTAGCTACAGTATTTATTGAAAAGACATGTTTTCATTTTCTGTCCTTTAGTCAAAAGATGCGAAAATCTGAAGGGTGTACCAAAGATGTAAGGTTTTCCAGCAGAGAAACAAATTTGTCAAATGTTACAAACAGAAACGAATTTATAATGCAGAATAACTCTGTGAAGAACTGGGAAACCAATTTTGTAGTACGCATCAAAATTAAAGGAAAAAAAAACTGAAAATAGGGTATAACTTTTTGTATAAAATTTTTCAAATCTTCCGTTGTAATATGCGACACTATGTTCTTTGCTGATACAAAGACACAGCATTTTTAAACACAATGCTTAAAATTGTTTAAGTGCCCTAAGAGGAACGGACATTTAAACGCAGAGTAGCAACGTGCATTTAAACGCGCACCTGCAGCGGGCATTTAAATAAACTCTGGCCAGCTCAAGCTTACCACCATTTCAAAAGCCTGGCATTTAAAGGTTAATCACTGCAATGAAGACAATATGAAATTAAAACACTACTGGGGGATCACAAACCTGAACATACCTAGATAGCCATTCTGTTTGTAGAAACTGTTCACCCAGTCATTCTGTGATTTGGAGTAAATTGCAGGTATATACATACTGCTTCCACCTTGCTGCTTTCCTGTTATGACACCTGGGACCTGCTTTGTCTCCATCAGCTTACCTATAATGGCTGCAAAGTTGCTTGACTTGTAATGACATAGTATATTCTGACAGAACAGAAACACATACTACATAAATTTAAAATTAATACTATCCTATCTAAGTTTTCATCTAGTAGTACAGCACACCACCACAATTTACTTTCTGAACTTTAATATGAAAAACATGAATCCAAGTTTTCAGAGTTCTGGGTGGCCTGCGATGGCATAACGTTCATATAAAATTTCACCAAACTATGTCCAGAATTTCTCAACTTTAAATATGCTAGTGGGCAGAAGACATTTATTCTTGTCAAGCACAATGTTCCAACAACATATAATAATTTGTGAAGTAAATTAAAACCATTTAAAATGTTTCTTCTTTTTTATGTCCCAAATAACACGATTTGAAAAGTAAACATACTGTCATGTATTTAGAGGTGTGTGACTACAGATGGGGTATGAATTGGTAAATGGATTTACTGATCACTTGTATACACCACTTGGAACTACATTTTACAGATCACTGACACACACAGACTTGTGATTACAGTCTATTACAATCTTCACTAGCCAATTCCTGACAACAGCATCTACCGAGGGAGATTCTTCAGCTTCCTGCACTCAGGTCCTATTGTCACAGCCTCCCGTGCAGAACTCTTGTCAACTGACAACTCAACTAACTGGGTCCAGGCTGGCGGCCATTTCACACCAACCTCATAGTCTTCTCTCCATAGGCTGACTTTCAACTGAACTGACAACTCTCTCACTAACCAACCAGCTGCTTCATGTCACTTCACTCAACTAGATTGTTGACAAGTCTAACCAAAAACTAATTCAGTGCTTCAAACTGTCTTGTTTATAACATCTTGATACAAATGACAGAGAAAACACCATTTCCATTGTTATAGTCCAACAATACTTCAACTATGAAAGATAAGAGGTAAAGCTATCCCTGTAACAGACCGTGAAGGCTCACAGGGTTGTGAGATGTCCAGGCTCCCACATTTTTTTTAGACAATTGGCTCACAGAAGGCAATAAGTTTGTCAGCTTTATATGCCAGGCGCCCATTACCCCCCAGGAAGATTCCTGGTAGTCAAATCTGTTAGAGGCTAAGTCAACCCCAGGGCCATAATGCGACTGGAAGGATTAGGTCAACTGAAAAAGATCCACCTCATTGGGACTCAAACCAGCAACATTTCAGCTTGTAGCATAATCCATTATATGTACACAGTGGCCCTCCTGTAGTGCACACAATTTCACCTGTCACTTCACAACATGTTTCGGCAACACAGTGCCATCATCAGGTGTCCCAACTACGTCAATCTATTGCATTGCTTGCCCTCATATGTTTTCACAACACCATTTAAAAAGTATTTAAAAGTCCATATTTGTCAACTATGATAAATTTACATTCGCTAAAACTTGTTAAGATAATTCATCTTATTTGTCTTAATTAAAGCTTGTATGTGGTTTGTTCACTACAGGGTCGTTTTTCTTATTTTCTGTGTAAACCGCATCTTGTGATGTGTGTTCCCTTCTTAGCTGCGAGCTAAGAAGGGAACACCTTAGCTTCCACCTACACCTAAACCTGCAAAGTGGTCTCTTCCCTTCAAGAATTCCAACCAAAATCTTGTATGAATTTCTAATCTTTCCCACATGTACTACATGTTCCACCCCATCCCCTTTGAAATGATCACCCTAATAATATTTAGCGAAGAGTACAAATCATGAAATTTGTCATTACATAAATTTCTCTGACCTCAAGCACATCAAAGACAAATAATATTTAATTTTAATCAATTCCTGATGAACTTACAATAAAACAGCCTTTCCTCAACTCCACACTGGCTGAGTAAAGTTGCTACTGATATGGGTCGCAAGGCAGCAGCCAAGGCCCCTCTGATACATGCTCGATTGCGAGCCACATACGATTCAGTGAAGAACACTTGAGGATCAGTCTTATCTTGTTTGCCATGAATTATCTTGCCAAGCTGCTTCTCAACCACCTGAACATAATTTTATACAGTAACTATTACAGAAGAGGATCCAAATAAGAATACCTTCCGATTCTGATATATGACCTCTCTGCATAATCATTGACACCATTTTATTATATACAACATTTTAAGGTCTTCACGCAGGGTTTACTTAGAGCAACAGTTCTCAAACTCTGTGTTGGTGCCCCATGAAACAAATACCTTCCTCCTTGGGAAGAAAAACTTGGAAAATGCATAGCTTAATCTGTAATGTTCTTATAATATAAATGTACAATGAATACTTTTATATCTGTCATATGTATAAGCTTACTCTGAGTCAATTCAAAATAAACATAACACTCAAAGTTAATGGGAATACCAGAAATGAGGATTTGGTACCCCTAGGAGTACTGGTACTACATTTTGAAAAATGCCATCATAGAGGAAACTTTGCATATGAAAATATAAGTAATACTGTGGAATACTGATATCAGAGCCTATTTTACATCATATAACACTAACAGAAATGTGCACATTACAATGAAGCATGAGTTATTAAATGCACCCTTTGATTCTGTTCACCTGATTGGCCTCGACATTAATTTATTGGAGATGGAAATACACCACTGCAAAGATTACAAACAACACTGATATGGCACTCAACTGTGACAAAATTTATCCTGTGATTTCATTATGCACTGATATACATTACACTGCAAAATGTTACAGACAGAAATTGCATTCTGATAACATCCAAAGTTTGAAGTGTTCGAGACCCGAGGTTCTGACATCTGTGACTATTACGATTACTGTCTGTTGGGATGTGGATGTACTAAATAACAAGGTGTCACATCTTGCTATAGTTTCATTTCCATACAATGTACAGTGCACTTTATCTTGGAATGATATATGAAAATGAAATTCACTCAACAGCTCTTACTCTGCACCCTTGTATAAAATAGCTCTTAAGTGTAGTGAACAGTTTACAGGTTGAAATATGCTAGCAATAAAGCACACATTTTTTAATGCCTAGGAAGTCCTATCAAGATATTTCAAGAAACCCAGATCAGAATAAAAGCTAATGATACAACGGTTAAAGAGGTGGACACTAAAACTAAACTCTGTGGCTTTTAGTCCACAAGTGAACTATACCGACCGAGCAACCTCTGCTTGTTGGCGAAGTTAGTGCCCACTTTAGCAAATAGATGGTGTTGTGTGGTCAGCGCAATGGATTCCCATGGCTGTTAATCTCAGTTTTCTAGACTGGAGCTGCTAATTTTCCTCTCAAGTAGCTACTCAATTATCCTCATGAGGCCAAGTGGACCCTGTTCCAGACCCACTATTTCTCAGAAAATCTTGTAGCACCAGGTATCGAACCTGGGACCTCTGGATCTGTAGCCAGGAACTCAGACCACAGAGGCAGCCCTAAAGAGGTAGACATCCTTTATTAATTTGGGAACTGAAATAAATTTTGATGGGAAATCCAGTGGTGAGATCAATACAAGCATACAGAGTAGTTCTAAATTCTATTCATTATAAAAGGAACAGTATGGAACAGAGACCCCCCCTAACTATGTATAAAGCATATATTAAACAAATAATAACTTTTAATACTGAAACAGGGACTCCTACAAAGAGAAACAAAAGCAAAATACAAGTAATAAATATAAAGTTTTTGAAGTGTTGAGGGAAAAACAGAAAGAGATAGCATTAGAAATGAAATATTTGAATGAATGACTGAAAGAATGTATAAGGGGTGGGCCTTCTTGGTCCTTGCACCGCGACCACAGTGATCTATTGAGCCTCTCCTTCTGATTATCCCCGCAACAATCCTGCACTTCAAATGAAGCGCAGGATCTTGTACGTGGGGATGTCGAAATAGTCACTTGGTTCCATAAAATATTGACCCAAGTGGCACAATCTTAAACAAGCTAAGGCCTCACATTCGCACAGGATATGTGTGGCTGTTTCATTTTCTTCTTGACACCTCTCACAAGTTGGACTGCTACTTAGTCCCAATTTGAAGAGGTGTCCTTTGAGGTGACAGTGTCCTGTAAGTAGTCCCTCCACCCAATGAAATATTTAGATGAGTATGAAATGAAATTATGAGGGGCAGTCAAATGAAAACAGGTGAGAAGCCAAAACATATTAAATAACATTTCTTACCTCAAAAGTAATCTCCAAAATTGTTAATACATTTATCTCTCTGGGAGATAAGACAGTCAATCCCATCCTTGAAAAAGCTTGTGGGCTGTCTACAGAACCACATCTTTACCCAGCCACACCCATCTTCATCCGATGCAAACCGATGTCCACGAATGTCACTCTTCAGGTCTCCAAAAATGTGAAAATCACATTGGGAGAGATCTGGGCTGTAGGGGGGATGATGAAGCACTTTCCACCCAAATCTCTGTAGCGTATTCCTCACAGAGTTGGCAGTGTGGGGGCGTGCATTATCGTGAAGAAGGATAATGCCGTTCAATAGTATTCCAGGGCATTTTGACTTTATGGCATGTCTCAGTNTGAAATATTTAGATGAGTATGAAATGAAATTATGAGGGGCAGTCAAATGAAAACAGGTGAGAAGCCAAAACATATTAAATAACATTTCTTACCTCAAAAGTAATCTCCAAAATTGTTAATACATTTATCTCTCTGGGAGATAAGACAGTCAATCCCATCCTTGAAAAAGCTTGTGGGCTGTCTACAGAACCACATCTTTACCCAGCCACACCCATCTTCATCCGATGCAAACCGATGTCCACGAATGTCTCTCTTCAGGTCTCCAAAAATGTGAAAATCACATTGGGAGAGATCTGGGCTGTAGGGGGGATGATGAAGCACTTTCCACCCAAATCTCTGTAGCGTATTCCTCACAGAGTTGGCAGTGTGGGGGCGTGCATTATCGTGAAGAAGGATAATGCCGTTCAATAGTATTCCAGGGCATTTTGACTTTATGGCATGTCTCAGTTTCTGCAAAGTGTCTTCATAGCGCTGTGCACTGATTGTGACCAAATGCTTGACAAATTCGATAAGCAGAGGGCCCTTGCAGTCAAAGAAGAATGTCATCATCACTTTACTGGAACTTGTGTGTACGGCTATGGACTTCTTCGGTGGGGGATAATTCACGCGTTTCCACCGTTGGCTCTGCCGTTTGCTCTTGGGTTCAAAATGCTGGCACCAAGTTTCGTCCCCAGTGGCAATACAGGACAGAAAAGCATACTCTTCCTCATGGTATCGTTGCAAGTGACCCAGTGATGCAGCCATTCTCTGAGTCTTGTTCCTCCATCAGTTGATGTGGAACCCACTGCGCACAGATTTTGCGGTACAGCAGATGTTCTGTCACAATGGCGTGTACAGAACCATGACTTACTCCCATCAAAAGACTAATTTCTTCCACAGTGATCTGTCGGTTTGCCTGGATATGACCATCCAACACAGCAATAACATCAGGAGTGATGACACAATGAGCCTATCCTGGCCAAGCATCATCTTGCAGTGACACATCCCTCTTGGAATCTCTTCTGCCATGCCAGCACATGCAAACATGACATGATGTCTTCCCCGTAAACAACAGACATGAGAGGATGAATTTCTCGTCCTACTACTCCTTCGGCAGTCAAAAAGCGCACTACACTTCGCTGTTCTTCTTTACCCGCCTCCATTACTGATGTTGGACGACCACACATAGTACTAACCTTACTTCCAGCACAATAAACAAATGGCTAGTGTGCAAGGGCACATTGTCACTGTGCTTTCCCGAGCCCCCACCAGATGTTTGTACTGTAAGCAAATTCCAGTGTTACCAGCTTATGTGCCGTGTGAGTTACGCGAGGTGACCTGTTTTCATTTGACTGTCCCTTATACTACAATTGTTTTGCCATGTAAAAAGAAAGATAGAACAAAAATGGCATTATAATTAAAATTCAGTGATCAACAACAAGAATGGTTTAGCCACGTACTGGAGGACATAAGGAAGAGATAAAAGAGCTGGCAAGACATTGAAGAAAACGACTGTGAGAATATCCAGAAAGAATACTCAAAGAAGGGGAGGAAGTCACTAAGTAAATAAAAGATGCAGGCATAGATTGACAAATACATGTTATCCCAATAAATTCATTTTATGCACTTCAAACAAAGAACTTATAAAAATGTAATTCTTTGTAATGCATACTATATTTACCATTTGTAAGAAGTCACTAGGCAGATCATAGTGCCTTGTGAGGTCACCAATTGTGACCTGACCTTGCTGAAGTAATCTTTCATTGATTTCTTCTGCAATGCGATTGACATATGTCTTATCAATCAACTGGCCAAGGACCAAGGAACAATTCTGGTCTGCTCGTTCAATTTCAGCAGCCCTTGCTGCAATCTGATTCAGGTCTACACTGAGCAACTTCACCAGTTCCACAAGATTGATACGACCTGAAACACAAAATAATTTGTGAACATAATTACTGCCATAGTAGTCTTCTGGGTTCTAAAACTGTGCAATTCAGACACAGGTCGGTATTTAAAAAAAAACATACTGCCTCCATCTTCAGGGTTAAAGGTTTACCCATGCAAGAAATTAACTCATCTTGCAGACTGCTTCTGCTGTTTTCTTACTTGGCTTAATCTTTGACCCTCATGATGGAGGTGATATTTTCTCCTGAAAAGGTATGAGCTAAAGTCAGACTGTGATACCCTTGTTCATGGCATCCTAATGCAACAATATAGCAACCAAGAGGTAACTGAATAGCTGCAACTACTGATGATGTCAAGAAGTATATATACCAAGCTCATACTGTCCAGTTATCATATTCCTGGCTCTGTGAGGTGTATTAGGTATGTGGATATGTCATTCATTCATTCCATCAAATTCTCCACAAATAAGAATATCTAACTAATTCTAAATTGTAATCAACTGTAAACAATTGTAACTATTGTAATTTTAATCTTACTCATATATTAAATTGTTAATATTCAGAATTAACTTGACTTGTCCTATATCATGTACAATGATCTACAGTGACGAAATAAATCAATCAATCATTTATTGTATATTCCACAAATCCATATACATAGATACAGAACCAGTCACATAGTTAATATAGTACAATACAATTATAAATATATATGTACAGCTTATAATCATTATAACAGACAAAAAAACATGTGTTAAATTTACAGTTTTATATCACTATATGTAAAATTATGCAATATTAAAATTGTTTATGTTACTAACCTTATATAAAAAGAGTTTTGCAATAAAAATGTTGTCAACTGAATTTTAAAATTTTTCAAGTCATTAGACATAGATTTGATTTTTGGTGGCAAACGATTGAAGTGTTAAACTCAGCGATATACAATTTTGACTAAAGCACTAATATATCATTTTTACTGAGAAACCAATGCAACAAAATGTGAATTTAACATTCTTGCATTTGGTGAAATCCAAGATTTAGTGAATATGTTTTCTGGCTTCAGCTAAAGCCCAGTATAAACAATGCATTACTTTCTGTATTTTGTAATTATAATCATGCAAATAACCTAATTTAGTGTCAGATTATGTTCATCCCTCCAGAACTCATACCTTCATTTAGTGTGAATGTGATCAAAACATTTAAGATTATTTTTCTGAACCGGAATTTGTTACTAATTAATTTGATATCATTGGGGGGGGGGGACAGAACTGGGAAAACCAAGACATAGGAGGGTGGACAATGTTAAAATGGATCTTAGAGAGACAAGATTGGATGGTATAGACTGCACTGATCTGGCACAGGATAGGGTCCACTGGAGGGCTCTTGTGAACATGGTAATGAACCTTTGGGTTCCATAAAATGCTGGGAAGTTCTTGAGTAGCTGCACAATTGACAGCTAAGGCTCAGCTCCTTAAGTGAGTGGGGGGTGGCGGGGTGGAACTGTAACAACTCAAACCGAGCATAATTTCTGAACAAATACACTACAAAACCTCAAAACTTACAAAGTACACTACAGTTTTCAAACTAAAGCTTCTGATTTTATGGTCCCACAATGCGGCAACCACTGACTGCTGGTCGCCAAGGGTTTTCTTTGTTCCATAGCATTTGTTCGCACTTTTTTTTAAAGCTTGCAAATAATAATTAATACATAACTAACGCAATATATTTTGTACTACCAAGGCTGTAAAGTAGTAATACCTCCGTGCACATAAAGTTCATCTCGAATTTCTCGCGTAAGCTGCTGCGGCGTAACATATTCTTTCCCATCTGTTGTAAACACCACATCAAGAAGTTTCAAATCTAGGAGTTTTGTGATAATTTCCACGCAGTTCCTCTCCGAGAGCCTGCAGGAAGTAAAATATTAGTATATTTTATTAAAGCTATACAGTTCGTTTGCTAAATTGGTATTTGTAGCAGACGTGCTTTTATGGTGTCATGACATAGCTATTCTAAACACAGATCATTCTTAAAACACATTCTTCATAATTACGCGAGCTTTCAAATGTAACGGGTGACTACAGTACCTCTGAACAGTGGAGCTTAATTGAGCTCTTTGAAAATCTGCAGCTAAACGTTTAACTTCATCCCACTCCACGGCTGTCATGTTGGCAAATTTCAATTATACGATCTAGGTTGGCTGCGGAACGCCGAAAAACAAAAGAACAATACACAGCGGGATCAGTGATACCAATGTCATAAAGATACACACGTGTAACGAGAATCTTGCAATACATGTGTTTTGCACGAAACATTGTAATAAAAAAGATAATTAGTTTGGCGAATTTCAGTATTAAAAGAATGGCCATGAACGAACGATTGTTACGTTTAGAAACCAATGCCATTACCGCTGAAGAAATGGTTAAAAAATTAAAATCTGAGGTAATTAGATTAAATGTGGGGTACTAGGCTGTTTCATATTTATATATTTTCAGTCTTCCCTTTGTATATAACAGGTTTAATACACATAAATAGGGGACAGTTTAATTAAAGGAAGGTATAAAGTGCCAAGCATAATAAATATGTCCATAGGACTCTGCTGTCATCAGTAATAAATTCTGAAACTTCATGTCAGCATTCACTCTGGATGCTATATAAATTTCTGTTGTGCAGGAGGGGTTATGCCTTTCTTGTATGAATTATTGGCCAAATTTTAAACGGCGAATACAACAGAGTTGGAGGCAGTAATGGTTGAAACACCATGCATTCACTAATATTTGAGTTTGAATTGTTTACTTGAAGTAGACTTAAGGACTTTTTACAGTAGTGTTGAGTTAGTTCATCTAGGGATTGTGAAAGTGTTTTAACTAAAGGATGAACTCGCAGCACATGATTCTAGGTAAAGTTAAAATGACCGTATAAAACCTAACCTATCATGAGGAGTACTATCTTCTGGGATGTAATGCTGTGTAGTGTGATAGAAGATTACTGACATTCATAAGAATATATTGCCCCCCCCCTCTTCATGCTTGACTTGTAAGTCATGCAAGTAGCAGCAGGCAGTGTGTGAACTTTCACCAGACTATGTGGCATTACATCCCAGAAGGTCATACCAAAATTAGATTTTCTGAAATAACCTATCATAACCCAATAAATAAAAAAGAAACTATGCCAGACAAATTCGTCGCAACAAGGAAGCTGCAGCATTCGAAAAGGCATTCCCAAAACATAGTGTGATATTGGTGTATTCTGCACTTTCTTAACATGTTTAGTGTATTGAAGAACTCTGTCCTGTAGGATATAATGCTGTGTAGTCTGCTGAAAAATCAATGAACAATTCAGAGTATAATGTCGTCTCTAGCATTAAACCTTTTGGTTTTGCTAGAGGATAATAAATTAACAATCAAGTTCCTTCTGTCAATTGTTAATTGGTTAGTGTGACGGACCAGAATGAAAGACCTTAAAGATAATAAATTACTTATGTTACATACTGATTGGTTTTTCAGGTTGCTGAAGTTAAAAGGCTATCAGCTCAAGAGCAGAATAAGGCAAGGGTGAAAGCACTAGAAGCAGAAAATGATCATCTGAGAAATGAAATTGAAGAATGGAAAAATAAGTTAATTAAATTGGAGATTGCAAATGGAATTAAACAGGTAGACTTTTAATTCAACTGTTTTCTTTTTTTCTATTCTTTATTTATATGTTATATTTGAGGTTCTGACAATGGTGACTATGAAGAGAATGTATGACCATGTGTTGTAACATTTTTGAGGAACATACTGCCTCCATCTTTAGGCTTGAAGAATAAGCCAAGCAAGAAGAAACAAGCAGAAGCAGGTGGCAAGCTGAGCTGTGGCCAAAATGTGGGGCACTGTCTGAACAACACGGTGTTCCAACTCAGAAGACTGTACTCTTCTTATATTTTTGTCTTTTGACTGTGTAATCTAATATTTCTTTACCCAAGGTGCTGTTACCTTCCCAAGATATGACCAGTAAACCACAAGAAGATCAGCCTCTGAAGACAAGTGCACTGGCAGAGGACACACCTAAACCATTGGCTACTAATGAACCAAATCAAAAGCTTGGTGATAAAGCAAATAAGAAAAAGAAAGAGAAGCCTGCCGAAGGAAAGAGCACAAAGAGTGGAGGTGGAGGGGCCACATCAGAGGAGCCTCCTGTAGATGTTGGAAGACTGGACTTGAGAGTGGGTTGCATCATATCGGCAAAGAAGCACCCAGATGCCGATTCCTTGTATGTAGAGGAGATTGATGTTGGGGAAGAAAAGGCGCGGACAGTGGTAATTCTGAGCTTTATAATTATATTCCATATCTCATTTTGTTGTTTTTTGTGCCACAAACTAAAAGAACAACAATTAATAAGATTTTCACAAGAATATAAACAAAAAATGCTAAGAAACGTTTTCTTGGTATTAATCATTTAATGCATATATTGAAAATTAATGTAATTATTATGTTGTATGGGTGTGAAACTTGGTCTCTGACATTAAGGGAGGAACATAGACTGAGGTTGTTTGAGAACAGGGTGTTGAGAATATTTGGACCAAAGAGAGATGAAGTGACAGTAGGTTGGAGAAAACTGCATAATGAGGAGCTTCATAACTTGTACTCTTCTCCAAGTATAATTAGAATGATCAAGTCAAGGAGGATGAGGTGGGCAGGACATGTAGCACAAATAGGAGAGAAAAATGCATATAGGATATTGGTGGCAAAGCCAGAAGAAAGGAGACCACTGGGAAGACCAAAACGTAGGTGAGTGGACAATATTAAAATGGATCTTAGAGATATAGGATGGGATGGTATTGTATGGATTGGATTGATCTGGCTCAGGATAGGAACCAGTGGAGGGCTCTTGTGAACACGGTAATGAACCTTCGCATTCCATAAAATGCTGGGAAATTCTTGAGTGCTGCAGATTTGGCGGCTTCTCAAGAAGGGCTTAGCTCCATGAGTAAGTAAGTAATTATTATGTAGGATACTTCTATTGGCTTGCGTGCACTCTATCTTTTGTTTCAAGAAATCTGTAAATTGAAGTCTATAATTGCTGAATAAAATCCACAGCCAGTATCATTTACATTTGTTCTTCATGTGGTTTAGGTTAGTGGACTGGTAAAATTTGTACCTGTGGAAGAATTACAAAATCGTCATGTTGTTGTTCTCTGCAATCTGAAACCAGTGAAGATGCGAGGAATAACATCTGAAGCCATGGTTATGTGTGCCAGTACACCAGAGAAAGTTGAGGTTCTGTTGCCACCTGTTGGAAGTATACCAGGAGATGAAATACATGTAGAGGGTTATCCTCGAGTGCCAGATCCTGTTCTCAATCCTAAGAAAAAGATTTTTGAGACTGTGGCTCCAGACCTGAAAACGAATTCAGAAAGAGTTGCAGTGTTCAAGGGAGCTGCATTCACTGTCCTTGGTAAAGGTGTTGTAACTGCACCCAGTCTTATAGGAGTCAGTATTAAATAACAGTGGTTCTGGTGGTATATTGGTTTTCTTTACTTATACAACTGTATATTGTTTCATGTGCCTTCAAACCAAGTTTTTTTGTTTTGTTTGAAGTTCTTCACAATGTACCTCATTGTAAAGCTAAGAAGAACTGCAAAATAAAAATCCAAGTGTTTAACACAATAAAGTGCTGTAAATTCTGTATCCTGTTGTATTTAATAATCACAAAATAATCCCAATTGCTATGATATTTGACTGAAGTCAGAAAAATATCCATTACCATATAGTGCATCTTTTGACTTCATTCACTGAGCTACAAAAATGTATTTTTTTTTTCATATTTTTGCCTTAAAATTGCATTATTTTAGGAAAATGAAAAGAATAGGCAACGAAAGGTTCATAAATATGAAATTTACTGTAATAACCATCAACGCCTTACTTTAGTAAATCTAATTTTTACTAATTCTGTAACAAACTGCACTGATAAATTTATTTTAGTACCAGAGATATAATTTCTCTGTCACTCTTCCTCTATTCAGGTTGTGCTTCTGATAGTCATATTAGATTGGAGGTGAACATTATTCTTTTTTCATTGGGAGCTACTTGGACTTGTTCTGAAGTGACCTTGGACTGGGGAACCTAGTCAGAAACTGTTAAATGCATAGTAGGTGATAACTGTTTGCAATGACTGAACACAATTTATAGATATAAAAAATGTGTAACAGTTGTGCTACTGATAATTCATTTTAAAATGATATCCTGAACTTTGATTCAAATTACCAAGCTGTTAAAACACCTGGACTGAACTTCGCTTGACTCTCATTTGTAGATATACTAAATGAAAATAAATATTCAGTACTGAAAAGCATCTCAAACAGGCATGTGCATTTGTTGACGGCACATAACTCCAGCCGCACACATTCCCAGTAGTGAAAAGGAAATTGTGTTGTGCAGTTGTTGGAAATGGGTCTCTCGACAGAGGAAAAAGTATTCATAGTTGAGAATTATTTCTGCTCATACGGAAGTGGTCACCAGACAACTTGCTTCCTTGGCTTTGAGCGGCCACATGTTATCATCCAGAAACTGCTACATAGTACACATGTGACGATATGGTGTGCCATCTCAGCACATGGTATATTAGGCCCCTATTTCATTGAAGATGAGGAAGGCAATGCTCTTACCGTCACCCAAGAATGCTACAGGGACATGGTGATCGGACCATTTCTTCAGGATTTGAGAAGGTTCTGTTGTGCAAGGAACCTTCACATGAATAGACAGTGGTATCAAAAGGACGTCTTTTCATTTCAGTACTGTATATCTTGGCGCATACAGTATATGTAATGTAGGCGCCAAAAACTTTATTGTCTGTCAAAATACAAATTATTGTCTCTTTATTTCTGATATGTTTCCACACTGTTTGGGAAATTCAAAATTAAAAAAATTGCCATAACAGAAATGAGTACCAGGAATATTCTTGGAATGTTCTTGGGGGTAAAGGGTGTAGGGCTGACAACCCTGCCGCCATCTATAAGCCTATTGTCTAGAAAATGTGGGAACCTCAACATCTCACAACCCTATGGGCCTCCATGGCCTGTTACAGGGATACCTTTACTTACTTACTTTTACATATTATCTTAATATTTCCACAGACCAGTTTAAATGTTCTATAGACTGCTTCCAGCCCATGAACCATGATTTATTCACTGCTGTATTAAGCTTATATAAATGTATTAAAGTACATCTTACATAAATGAACAGTAGATCAATTCAGATCAACTCTCTACTTCAGTCCTTTCTCCATGTTATGTAAAGCTAGAAAGGAACCCACCAAATTCCAGGATCAAGACTTCTGTGATGATTATATGAAGTTTAATTTCATGAAACCATAGCAGTATTATTTGCTCCAACCTGAATTGTATTTATTATTATTCTTTTGGAATTTTCAAGGTAAATTTTACATTGAATGGTTTCATTTTAATTTTCTTCTTCAAAAATGTTCAAATTATTTTTGTATTATGATATTGTTATTGCAATATGCTTTATACCTATCCATCTACTGAGTATTCTCTCAACTTTTTTTCAAGATAATGAATGAACAGTCATAATTTTTAATTTAAAAGAACTTCTTGTGAATGTGTTATTACTTTGCCATCACATAAAACTCTTAACCCAAATCAATAATCCACTAATACTTATTCTGTAACATCTTGAACTTCTAACGTGAGAGTGGCTAATGAGTGGTCACCTACTGACTTGTCACTGAAGAATAATGGACACAGGCTTGGTGCTATGCTGTTAATATTTTAGTGCAAAGTCAAAGGGTATGGTAGCTTTCCTTTGTTGCTGAAAAAATGTTTGTTCTACGTCATAAGAAGGAATAAAAGAACAAAGCACTCTCTTTATTTCTTTTGATATTACAGTAAGGGAGTACCATGTGACATAGGCAAAGGAAGAATTTTAGCTTGTCTTGTTCTTATACTCTCTCAATACGTGGAAATCTGTGTTTCCAATAAGCATCTGGAACAGTAATGAGTCAGTGTGTGTGGTGATATTTGTTTTAAAAGAAGTAAATTCTCAGTATAGTCAACAATTTTAAAATAAAAATTAAATATAATATTATTTGAATGGACAGAAAATATAAAGTAATATGAAATCATGAGCAACATTTCTGAGGTGCCAGTTCCCATGCAGAAAACATCAAAGAGGAATCCATATATATGGGAGGTACTGGTGAAGACCTGGCACCAGTATCTCACAATTACAACTATTCCAGGCTTACAAAATATCTACCATGCATCAGGCAGACTATCTTCCTTCATCTGGACTTTGTTGTTCATTATTGGGTTTGCATGTACAGTGCGAGATGTGTATACAACCACTACAGAGTATATTTCTTACCCAGTAATAACATCTATGACAATGGACCAGGTAGTAGCCTTACCGTTCCCATCAGTAACAGTCTGCAATCTGAACCGTATTCATTGCACAAATTTGCGAAAACTTGCAGCCCAACACTGGGGTACTGAGTTGGGAACACGTCTTCTAGAACTTCATGTGATCACCAACTGTCATGTGGACTTTTCTTGGGAACCAGTCTATCAAGAGAGACAGGAAAATAAAATACATGAACAAGATACTGTTTATCCAGATATTACTTCAGGAAATACAAGACATAACCTTAAAGAGAAATTTGAGGATCTTACAACATTACCAGCAGATGACAGCTCTGTTTATAGAAAAGTAAAATTTTCATTTCTAATAATTATTTTGCATTCCAAGTCAAGAGTTATCATTTATTAATAAAAAAATTTCTTAAGCTATCAGCTGTATTAGTTTGTTACAAAATGATGTTTCAGGGACCATCTTTGGTCCTGAAACATTGTTCATCAAGATTGGATCCTGATGATGGGGTCAGAGGTGGTCTCTGAAAGATTATTCATTTTTAAATAGATGTGGTTGATAACCCAAGAAGATTTTATTAACTTTAGGTGCTTTAAAGCTTCAAATCTTACACTTCTAAGTAATTATTAATAACTAATAATATACCACTTTCTACATTTCACAAGCAAATGGTACAGTTTTTGTGGTCAGACTACTGCAATATTTATTTTCACACATTATTGATAAACAGAAGACATTCTTTAAGATGTCTTATCAGCTACAGCGTATGTTTGATATTTCCTTGCTCTTCTGCATGACATAACTTCTAGAATATAATTCACCACTGGGTATAGACTTGTGTAAAACTTCTTTGGGCCTCAGTGACTTAACTGTCTGAGATTTATTTTTATGTTGTTCTTAAAACAGTCTGGTGATAATGAATCTTCCACCGAAAACACCCCAGTACATGAGAAGAAGAGACTGAACCAGACCCAATCATTCAATGACATGATGCATTTTCTGGCATTGTATACCAACTTCTCCTCTGAGGTCAGGAAGCAACTTGGACATGAATTTAAGGATTTCATTCGTTCCTGCACCTTCAGTGGAAAATCCTGCTTAAATGAAACACTGTAAGAACTCAAATATATTGTAAAGTTCACATATTCTGTTCTACATATCTTCACCTAATATGAACAAGTTTTAAAATAAACTCCAAATGAACGTTTTTATTTTGTGCTTTAAAGGCTGGTCCTAGTATTATGCTTTGAAAGAATTTTCTTTGTGGTCCCTTTCTGTTTTAAATTCAAACTTTCTGAATTACTATTCTAGAGTGCTGTGGTCTAACTGATCAGAATCAGTTTTACATGGAATTCTACATGCAAAGTGAACTTATTGCCTCCTCCTCCATCATCATCATCATTATCATCATCATCATCGTCATCATTGTCATCATCATCGTCGTCATCATCATCATCAAGCTTCTAGAGGAGGCCATGCTCCCTCTTTCATATTTTAGGGGAATTATGTCCCACTTCCTTGCCCTTAGTCTCTCTCTCTCTCATATATATATATATGTGTGTGTGTGTGTGTGTGTGTGTCACTCAAGGCAACAATTATAGTAAACTGAAGTGTGTATGTGTGTTAGAAATAAATACCTCAGATAGGAGCATTTTCCAGACACAGAAATAAAAAATATATCACATGTCAGATATGCGCTGGGGCTTTTTTTTTTTGTGGCATGAACACTAGACTGAAGAAATGCTGGTAATTATCTTGTTCATGGGAATTGCTGATTGTAAGTTTCAGTCTTTCTTTCCAGCATTTTTTCTTTTACTCTTCTAATTATTTAGCATTTATCATCTTAAAAAACTTTTTCCATGAATTAGATATCCAATTTTATCTTCCTTGAATGCATCTTGTTAGGCATTTTGGTGGTAATTTATTGTCCTTTTCCAGATTATGGAACGTTTTATGTAAAGATTAAAAAGATTATTGACAAAAACTAATCTATTGTAATTAGAAAGTAGCACCAATCAGAATGTATTTTTTTTATAATCAGGATGTCACATCTGTCTCATAATTAATATTAAAATATCATTTCAACTGTTTTATAAATAACACTCTTTGTAAAATAAAGCAAAAGCTGATAGAAAAATTTCTAACTTTTCATTCATTCATTTATTTATTCACGTTGCATAAGATCTTTACAAGGTCGAAAAACAACCAATTAGATACAGAAATCGTCAAGTAACTTAATCACATCTTGCTTATCAATCAAGCAGCTGTCAAAAAACAATTAATAGTAGATAAGGTTTACATTAGTCACAAAAGAATTAATCTTAAAAACAGTAAAAACACTGACAATTTTAGAGTAAAAAATTCAGTCCAAATATTATGTACAGATCTTGCTTATACATTGAAGCAATTATCTAAAAACCAGTTTAGAATGTTAATATAATTAATGATAATAGCTGTAACTAAACACTGACAATATAAGATAACAAATTGAGTATAATTTGTAATAAGAAATGCAAGTAATAATATGTACAATTTAAAAAGGCTTAATCACATGAAACCTGTTTTGTCAGATAGTTTAAGTTTCTCACCAAAAAGCCTCAATTTGTTACACATATCCACACACATTCCAGTATATGGTCTCATCTTTATAAAACAATATTTATTTTAATCAAGTACAAATTAATCAAATTACTAAACAGAATGAAAATGATGAAAACGTGTTTTGAACTACTTGCATCAAAGTTGAATAAATTTTATTGATGTCACTTTATTTGCAGGTACTTTAACCATGTCGTAAACAGTGCTTTTGGAAATTGCTACACTTTCAGTACAGACAGAAAAACTGTCATTCCAGGCAGAGATTATGGTAAGTTTCATATCCATACATTGGCTAAATACCCCCACTGAGCATTGCTGATCAAGAAATTCTGCTCTTTTTATTTAATTGAAAGTCCATTATCACATTCACAAGAGCCCATTGTTAGATCCCATTCTGAGACATATAAATCCAGCATACATCCCAGTACTATAGACTGGAATAGGTGAGATGGCCTAATTTGTAATGGCTGAAATAATAATAATAATAATAATGACAATAACAACAACAATAATAATAACAATAATAACAACAACAACAACGAGGATGATGATGATAATAATAAACATCAAGAGGGGTGCACAAATTACTAAGAACAGATTTGGAAAATATGAGTACTATCCAGCATTGCATATCATTACTATATATGCTTGTACACTGCCTATCACAACTGTAACCAGAATTGTCCTGTCACTTCCATGTCCGACAGTGTAATGTCAAAGATAAAAGAAATTCTGTGTATTATTCCATTTCATGTACATGTAAGGACTGTCCATGGAGCTTTATCTGGATCAAGAGAATTACCTGGGAGCAGGTCTGAGTCCACAGGCAGGAGCTCGACTTGTTGTGCACAGTGGGGAGCATCAGGCCCTGCCAGAAGAGAATGGCATCACAGTCTCTCCCCATACCGCAACTAGCATTGCTCTGCTGGAGGTAAGCTCAGGTATATGAACACTTTCTGTTGTAATGTGATGGAGGATAAGTATGACTAAATTAATAATCTTAGAAAAGTGCAAATATGCAACAATAAGGTCTGATTAAAATATATAGAACTATGTGTATGAAGTCTACCAATGCAGTGGATTGCCAGTGTTATGGAAACAGCACCATGCATGAATGAAACTATGCTAGTTGCTGAAATATTACCAGTATATACATTTTGGAATACTAATATTTCCATTTTTAATTTTGGCTGCTTTAATTTAATCCTTTAAGTCGAAAATTTGTACATTCAGAAGCATGAGTTTTTGAACAATCAAATTATTTAACAAAATATAGACTTAAAATGTTTTCCAGGTGCGAATTAAACGTCTGAAACTGCCGTATACTACCAACTGCTCTACCACTTGGGATCATACTTGGTATGGAGCTCGGGTGAATGGTGCTTTTGCTTACTCATCAGAGGTAATCCTGTAACATACCATATTAAAAAATCTCCATGGCCTGTAGTCCGCAAGCAAACTATACCATATACATCATGTTTAAATAATACATGTGAAGAAGGAAGCTGACATATATTACATCCTGACTATTAATTTTAATTTTCTTATTTAGCATGTATAGAATTTATGCAGATATTTTAAGAAATAGCTGTACTGTTCATGCACAAAATATTTTAGTAGAGGAAAAACAGGATTCTGTAAGGAATAAAACTGTATGGCCCCAAGTTATACTCTGCAGCAAATAACTGACAAAAGAAAGGCATTTTATTTACAGATATTTCTGCCAGTTACTGATTTTAAACAGTCTCAATGTGCATTTAATTTGCACCAGGTTCTTTTTATTATTCACACATGAAAGCTGGACATTAAGTTCTTGCTCTCTAATTATTCCTCTAGTTAAACCTAAAATGTACTTACTACAGTCAATAATTTTGTGGATTGGCCGCACAGTGGAGCTGTTATGCTCTACAGTGAATATATGTAGTCACAAAATGATGCCATGTCTGTTCTTCTCTCCTCCCAGCAAGAAGTAGTTGCATGCATGAGGTGTATTCAGAAAGAAAGAAACACTGTTTTGAAGGGTAGTTGTCTGCAAGTGGTGGAAATTCAGGATGTCGCAGTTTGAGCAATGGGAAAACGTCAAGTTCTGCCAAAAATTATGCAAATTCGCTAGTGAAGAGTTTAAGATGCTCAAGCAAGCATATGATGAAACAACCTTGGGCCACAATTCTGTTTATAAGTGGCACAAACGTTTTGCACAGGTGAGAGACAGTTTGGAAGTTGAACATAACTGGTTGGCTAAGAACAGTCAGAACTGAACTCCAGATCCAAGAAGTTGTAATGTTGGTGTGTGCCATCTGCTCCAAAAAGGTAAATGAAATCGCAGCAGCAGCAGGGACTAGCCATGGTACTTGTCACAAAATTCTGTGTGATGACCTGAACATGTCTCATGTTACCCAGCACAGTATTCCATGTGTCCTGATGCAAGACCAATGTGACAACCGCATGAACATTTGCGGTGACCTGATCAACAGTGCTGACAAAAATTGGATGTTTCCAAACCGAATCATAACAGGAGACGAACGGCAACTATTTTGAGGGAGGATGTGGATATGCGTAAGTGTATGAGCATTGTATAATATGGTGCAACAAAACCAGAATCTACAAAATTATTGACTATAGTAGTATATCAATTTCATTACTATTTCTCCATCCAGTATTGTATTTCCATTTATTTGTTCAGAATCTTTTGTTAAATTCTGGAATTTTCTATTCCAGTCTGTAAACATTTTCAATGACAATGGTAACAGGTAGATAAGAAATTACAAAGATCTGTAAAACTTAATACATTCTTCAGAAACTTGCAGAATGAACAGAATGTCTGTTCTTTCTGTCCTTTCCCTCAAGAGAATCCAACTAGCCACACCAGTTCTTCGTCATGTCATTGACGTCAATAGCCTGTCCTCAACCTACCGGTTCTTCTTGACTACCGCACTGCCTAGTGCTATTGACCTCAAGTTTCCTGGACTCACTGGCCGTTCCCCTCCCCTCCCTTAGTCACACACCATATATGGTCTTAATCGCTCCCCACTGCTCCCATTGGTCCGTTCTCCCTAACCAACCCCCTTGCCTACTTCGTATATAAGCAGCGCCTTTCACATCCTATCACCACAGCTACACCTCTCCGCATTCCAGCCATTCAACTGCTCTGAAGATGGAGGCGCTATGTTCCTCCGAAACGTCGGCCAACACGAAGAATACACGGTGCCTAAACCCAGAAGACGACTCTCTTCATTGTCATCGCCGTGAAAACCTCAAAACTTACACAGAATGTCTGTTTTTCCATTCTTTCAGTGTTTCTGAAAATTTTCCACTAGTCAGTGAGCGATTCTCACTTTACAGACAATTTTACAGATTAATGGAGTACTTAAAGAATTCAAAGTATTGAACACAGAAAGAGTAACTTACAGGTGTCTAGTTTTCACCAGTCTGAAGTTGGATAGACTCTCTTATTTAATAATTTAAGCATAAACATCCATCAAAATTGTACGCCCAAATATCCAATCAGAGCTTCAAGCAAGAGTGGCTCATAAATTATCTTGCAAACCATATCTTTACAAGAAGTTACAACTTCAAAACTCACAATTTTTATTTAGAAATATAAACAATACTGTAACATTCAAATTGCAGAGATGCCAAAGGATTTGCTTGCAGTTTGCTTTTGAGGAGAGGTGTAACTGTTCGCATCCATCATACATGGACCTGCCAACAGGATTTGTACCATGTAATCTCATCTCAAGCAGTAAGTTTTCAGAAGACGGACAACAACATTATTAAGAATATTATTATCTGTCAAATATGCCATGCACTAAAGCTTATTCTGGTTTCAAACATCCATCATACTGTAGCGAATGACAAATTACAAGTTTTGTGCAACTTGAAAATGTAGTGGTGTAAGAGCATATGCCAGCTCATACATTTGTAATTTCCTTAGTTAAAGCATCACCCATCTTCTATGCGCCTTAATTACTGCCACTACTCTGACTCAGTTATAAACCTCTATCCTTTCCTAAAGAACAAATAAGACAAATGACCGAAAATCTGGAAATTCAATGTCAGAAAGAAGAAGAAAAGAATAACAATTAGATGTATTTCATACAGAAACTCTCATTTGATGCGTATAATTTATTACACAACATTTTGAATGATTAATGTTTTTATTATGTCAACTGTAGTTACAAGAACAAAATTTAATCAGATCATAAATATTTTTAGGTCTTGCTTATGGTTGCTCAACAGACATCTTGGAAGAATTTGAAAACCAGAACAGACTTTGCAGTTGCAACATGGATTGCAGGTAACCTAATCTTGGCTTCTTGCAATAGAGCTTTGAAGAGATGCTAATGGTTTAGTAATTTCATAAAAGCAAAAAAAAAAAGTAAAGGTATCCCTGTAACAGGCCGTGGAGGCCCATAGGGTTGTGAGATGTTGAGGTTCCCACATTTTCTAGACAATCGGCTCTTAGATGGCAGCAAGGTTGTTAGCCCTATGTGCTGGCCACCCTTTACCCCAAAGAACATTCCAAGAATATTCCTGTTTCTCATTTCTGTTAGAGGCTGAATCAACCCCAGGGCCATAGTGCGGCTGGAAGGATTAGGTCAATTGAAAAAAAAAAATCTGACATCGGGACTTGAACCCACGATATTCTGGCTTGTAGTATAGTGCCTCAACCAACTACACTACTGTGTGCCCCTGATTGAAGAACAGCAGATAATGAATTTATCATCCTAAGAACTACAGGCTGACTATGGTGCTGGCACAGATTTTGAGCTCTTCACTAGCAAACCCTACTCATCTAACTGAATTTAATCAGAAAACTATGTTCTTTATATCATTCCAGAATTTTTATGGGAGTAAATTTGATTTCCTAAATCTCATTCACATTTGATACTATTATTATAATATTTATTCCAAGAACTTATCAAAACTTATGAATGTTTCAGGGAGATAAGTTATGAGACCAAAATATCAACTGCAATGTGGCCAACAGACAATTACTGGGTATGTTATTTTCTTAACAACTTAAATTTGCGCATGTGTATGTGTTCATTTATGCCA